GATTTTATATCTTTATATCGCATAATATAATCATAGTCTGTTGGTGATAGTTTGACTGCATCAGATCGCATGGTTTTTGTTGTCATATTTATAGTGTCAGTAATAAAAAAAATATTATCAGTAATATCGATAATATAAAAAATTATTATCAGTAATATCAGTAATATTAGTAATATAAAAAATTATTATCAGTAATATCGATAATATCAGTAATATAAAAAATTATTATCAGTAATATATAAAAATCATTATCAATAATATTGATAATATCAGTAATATATAAAAATCATTATCAATAATATCGGTAATATCACTAGTATTGATAATATTGGTAAACCAAAAGTATATATATATCTATTACTTAGCCTTGATTTTTTTTAAATATATGAGAAAAATAACATGGTCAAGGTGCGTATATTGCAAGATACCAAGAGCATGGAGTCCAAAAAAATACAAGGGCAGGGGTATAGGCTTGGTAGTACCCGCGAACAAGAACTCGAGGAGGCATTACGTGATAGTATCAAGTCCAATTCCGAAATTACTAGTGAATATAAAAATATGCAAGTGGTATATTCAAATCATAGCATAAATACCAATAAGGAGAATGATCAATTACGTTGCAATAATGAGAAACTCTCCAAGTATGTATATCAACTTATAGATGAGGTTAAGCAATTATGCTCAAAGATAGATACTCTCAAATCCCTTATCACTGGTAAAGATCTTTCACTTAGTAAATTCAAGGACAAGATTCGTACAAAATCCAAAGAAATGAAAGATTTCTTATCTAAGATGGAGGCATTGGAGACGAAATTATCTTCAGCTCAGGAGGACTTGTCTATGAAAGAATCTGAGATTGACCCCCTTAGGGCTGAATTATCTGCCTTGAATTCTATTCTAGTTTCGAAAAATAGTGAATTGGTGCATATGGAGAATGCATTGGCTTCGAAAGATGACGAATTGAAACAAATGAAAGATGATCTGGCCTTGAAAACTTCAGAGATACACTCCTTAGAATCCAAGTTATCATTAGAACCAATCAAAATTGGCGGTGAGACAGATGAAAAAAAAATACCGAATTCTATCTCACAGAGTGATGATGCTATCGCATCTGATATACCTAGTAAAGATCTCAGTCAATATTTTATACGTGGAAAAGGTACGGATCAAGTTGGAAAAATCAATACAGATATACTGGATCGCACTGATGATAAAAGTGCTTCTATACCTGAGGAATTAGTAATTTAAGGCTATACCTCATCTCCAAAAGTAGATATTGAGATTATTCCCAAGGTAAGTGATGAAATCGATATTAGTGAAACTAGGGTCAAGGACCCATTACACGGTAATAACAACAATATACTTCAAGAAATACCGAATATGACTTCTTACTTTGCACAGCCGGAAAATAATAGCGAAGCTAGTGCTAAAGCATATATGTTCTCATTGATTGAATTGAATGCCCAGATGAGACCTAGTCTCGAGACTTTACCTCTTCCTGCTGTGGCAAACACTTTAATATCACCGCTATCGGTATATATTTTTCTTGCCCTGTTAATTATTGCGGTTGTGTGGTTTGTGAGATGCACATGGAATATAGGTAGACTCGAAGCGCCATTGCTCCGCAGGCCCGAAGGAGTGACTCTAGATTCGAAGAGTCATTTCTTTGAAATAAAGAGTCATAAAAAAAGTGATCGATTGCGGGATATGTGGATCAGGTAAGCATCTATTTAAACTTGGATATTATTTATGTACGAAAAAATATATACGATGGTAATATAAAGATATAATTATAGTAAGCTGACTGCCTTGTTTCATGTATTTAGAAAACTCTCAAGTGCTAGTTGATCTGTTTTCGATATATGAGATAAGGTAGGTTGTTCAGTAATCATCTCATTTTTTCTCATAGTCTCGGGTTGACCAATTTTATCTGGGATTGTTATATGCTCTTTATATCGCATATGATATACTAACTTATGAAAGAAAACATTATATTTCTCGATAATTGGGATAAGTACATTTAGATGTTTCGTAAAATCAGAGCATATGGATTTTTTTATCCCTTCACTTATCAAGAGATTATCATTTTCAGTATATGCTCTGGCATACTCTATGAACTTTTCCCATAATTTCTCGATATTATTGGTTGTCTTAAAATCCTCAAAACTAAGCCATTCCCCATGAAATATCTCGTAGGTATTACCTACCTTCTGATATAATATAGATTGCGCGGTTTTGATTGCATTCTTGTAAGCGCGTTTGTAAGCATATCCACGATTAGATATTATTTTAGGAGTGATTCCATCTATCACATTTATCTCCTTGATATATGACTCGAGCCACTTCTTGGCCTTATTTTGAGCATATGTATCAATCTGTTTATATTTCTCATCTGAATCAGTAATCTTCATGATTTTGTCAGTAGATGGTGGTTCATATTTTTTATCATACATAATAAATCGAGCATAAAGTCCATTAATAGTATTTTCAAAGTAATGGGATAGATCCAATTTTCTATTTAATCCTTTTGCAATATCCGCGAATTCTATTTGATCAGCCTTTCTTATAGTGAGTTTAAAACCAGATAAATCAAAAACTTTATCGGGATAAACTATTACATAACTAAAGCGTTCTCCTGGATCAGGAATCTTGTTTTTATATTTTTCTTTCATCCGTCCTATAAATCGCTAGACACGTTTGTTATCTACATTAGGTTTCCATGCATCAGTTTCTATAAACTGGTCAAAATTCCATTAATTGGGATTGGTTATAGTCTCTTTAAGAATCTCTTCAACAATCTCATAGAGTGTTCAATTATTGTTAATATCTATTGCACCCCACATAATTCGATTTCCTATAGTTTTGAAAAGTTGGGACTTACCTTGCTTCACAGTATCGATTCCTTTTATAAAAAGATCTTTCAGTTTAAAGTTTGGAACTTTTTTATGTGGTATTCCGAAATATTTCTTTTACCGGTAAATACTACTGGGAATAAAACTTCTTCATAAGCCATTTTAAGATAGGTCGATCTATTCTTTATTCTAAGATATGTATTCACATCATCACGTAATTTCTCCATTACTTTCATAGTAATATTAACCATTTCGGTCCAATACTCCAACTTTGAAATTGTGCCTTTACCATTATTATAAGCAAGATCACATTCTTTATAATATTCAATGGAACAGGTGAGATATAAAGAATCAGTGTCCCCATATTTGATTCCAAAATCTTTCTTCTTAGTTACATACTCAGCAACAAGTTTAATGTTATATTGTCCTGCCGATGTGACACCACCAGCTAATTGTAGGAAGAAGAATGGAGATAGACCATTACCTGCTTCTCCATAGAAGATATTCATATATATTTTTACTGCTTTTTGTTTCGAATTCAAGCAAGTGTGATTAAAACAGATGGAATCATATTCTATTTTGAAATTCTCATAAGTTTCATTAATGAAAGGAATCAAGATTTCATTCATATTGACACGTTTTTCTTTATCTTCCGCATTTTTCAGAGTATAATCAATAGCATCGGCCACCGACAAATTCTCCTCTTTTATTTTACTATTTACTAATTCCATATACTCTTTTGTATTTCCAATTGAGCTTTCATTTTATTTCGTTTATTAAGAAGCTCTTTTAAAACTGATGGATATAACCCCATTTTATTATTTTTATTTTCATGTCTTACAGACCATGCATGTAAAATTCGGCCATTGAAAGGGAACTCAATTTTATAGAGGGTCTCGCCCGCTTCTTTTAAATTATCTGCTTCTTTGGGCGATAGAGTCATTTTCTCAGGTGAGAGGTTATAGTTCATTATAATACTTGGGTATAAAGATGCGAAATCCAAACCCGTGACAGGCCGTTCATTTTCTAAATCCTTATCTGGTGAAAATACATAGGCTCCAGGGAACATGCCTTTTTCTTTTTGCTTAGGAGAAATCAAAGTAATTAATATATCTCTTTTCCACGCTTCAGCGCCTAATAGATTACATACCTTCGTACTCCCAGCATAGTAATGCGAATCAAATAAAGAAATATATGCAATTGAGGCCACCTCTCTGTAATCATTTATTACATTTCTCTTAACCATAAGTTCTTGATAACTTAAAGCATCTTTAATACAATATTTAGTAATTTTACGTATATTTTCAGCGGTCTCAAGTGAGGTATTCTCCTTGCTTCGTGTATAATATTCTCTCATAACTTTTATTGGTAAATCTATTTTACTACCAAGACCATGTATCCCTAAGAAATAATTGAGTGATTTTTTCTCAGATTTCAGATAAAGTTTTTCACAACATACTTTCACATCTATTGGAACGCAACCGGGAACCTTGAGAAAAGTAGATATAAAATTTTTATCTGGGGTGATTTTAATTTCGATCCCTTCCCGATTCTTTTTGTTACCCTTGTTTTCTTTTTTAGAAGACCCCCATGTTTGCTCTTTATGAAAGAAATCTTTATAGAAAGGTTCACCTACCCCTCCACAATAACTCCAATGAAGAATAGAATCGATTGTAGCCTTTTTTCGTGGGTTTGCTGACATCTTTGCCATCATTCAATCTAGAATTTTTAGTTGGATGGCTCTTTCCACTACAAATGACCAGTCATACTTGGATCCATTAAAAGTGAGTTCGATATCAGGGGCTAAAGCCCGCCAGCATAGAGCAAATGCCTTTAATAGATTCCTTTCATTTCCACAAATAATCATGATCCAATTTGGGTCCAGTGCCGTTTCCACATCAACAAGGCAGATTTGTTTTAACGGGGTAGGATCATCTTTCCAGTGAACAGTCATACAAATCATAAATATATTATCCTCTTTATATTTCGCCATAGGGAAATGGTCTAATCCAAGCGTTGAATGTGTTTCTATGTCCCAGGTAAGGACTAATGCTCGATCACGAGTAAGAAGTTGTGAAGGATAATTTTTGTATAAAATTGAGGGATTTTCCATAGAACAGTAATTATTAATAGGTACATAAAACGCATGTTCACAAAGTGGTGAGCGAGCACTATAAGGCATTCCATTGCTATTGTATTTATAATCAGTTAATAATACCCATCTAGAAAGTGGTATCCTATATTCTCTAGCAACTTTTCGATAATATGCTCTCGTATTATCTGAGGCTATTTCCAGCTTATGCATACCTCCAATTTCTGAATTATGTTTTAGAATAATATTAAGAGCTATAGATCTTTGTTTTTTTGTATTTGTAATAATACGTAAATATGTCAATTTTTCTTGATGATATCCCCTGATCAGAAAAGCCTTCACATATTCTATTCGGAGCTCAGTCATATCTACAGTTTCTCCTTTATCATCTTTTCCTTTAATAAGAATATCTTTTACCTTGAACTCGAATAACTTTGTATTCTCATTATTGGGAATACGAATATCGAAGAAAACTTTAATACCTGAAATAGTTACTACAGCTTTTTGACCGTTAACAAGATAACCATAAAGTCGTAAAACATAGTGTGGGGTATTATTTATATACTCATTATATTCCTCTATGTCACAAGGCATAAATGGGATATCTTTTCCATTAATTAAATCGTGATTAATAGTTGCTGTTGATCCATAGTCATCATTTTCAGCGATTATTATATTGCGACTCGGATGGATCAGTAAATATTCTTCTTCATCATAGTAAAATACCTGGCTTTCCTCCTTACTTTCTGAAATCTTTGATTGAGCAAAAGCTTTAAGCCCCTGGCGGTAGAATGCTCTGCTATTTTCTTCCACTATCTCCGGCTCGAAATTCTCTGAGTTTTCTGAGCTCTCTGGTTGAGAAGGTGGTACTCCCACTTCTGCTGACACGTGATCGATATTTTCTTGGAAATTTTGGGTATCCATAGTAGGTGTAATAATATCGGACATCTTTTTGTAAATTTATATTATCTGTACGAAAAAAATTCAAAATGAAAATTAATTCCTTACAA